TTTTTCTCAATACTTTGTTCATCATTAGAGAGGTGAACTTATTTTGTTCAGTTCCAAATTATTCAATATTAAAATAAATTTTTTTGTTTGATTAATTCGATTAAAAATTTAATTAATGGAAATATTTCACTTCAATTTATGATAAAAGATTTTTTTACTTAAAAAGATTAAAAGAGATTTATTAATTGAATGCACCATGTTAAAAAATCCATTCTTTAGTAATCAAAAATTGAAATTTTGAATTGGATTCATCTATTAAAATAAAAAATATAATCAAAGTAATAAAAGATACAATAAAGAGTTTCACTTATTGTTCTTTCTTTTAAAATTTTAATATTTATTTAATGAAAATTAATGAATACTTAATATTTTAATTATTTGTCAAAAAAATTATGGTTCTTTCAAAAAATTTTAATACATATTTTCATTTATATAAAACTTAAAATTTGACTTTTCACTTAATTTAAAGAAGAAGTCTAATTAACCCAATATATAAAAGAATTTTCAAAAAAAGATATTAAAAAAAAAAAAGGAGGAGTCAGTTCATCATGTATATATAATTCATATTAAAAAGACCAACAACTAAGAGGTGGCCTTCTGGAATATCTTGATTCTGTGCTGAAATGAAGGACTTGATCAATATTTTGATGTGGAGGCTTACTTCCAGTGCTATTGAATGTGAAACAATACATAGAGAGAAATAAAAAGGAGTCATAAAAATTATCAAGAAAGAGGGTATTAGAAGTCAATATTATTTTACCACAAAACTCATCTGGGATTGTTTATTAAAGTATAGAAAATACATAATCTAATTATTGTTGTAGGAAAAAAAATTAAATTGTCTTGACATTAAACATATTAAAATATTTGATAATTATTATATAATAAAGTTCATAAAATTAAAATTCATACTAAATTAAACATATTTAATAATTATTTTTTTATTGTACACCACATCAATTGTCAAACATTACACACCGATTTCAGAAAAAAGAAAAAAAGCTTAAATAAGGTAAAATAAAATAGTGCATTTTTTTTCTTTGAATTTAAAATAAAAGAGTACCATGACATACCATTGTCATAATTTTTATTCATTCAGTACACACCAACAAGCCAAACAAGACACTGAGAACCAACGAGGGATTGAATCAAGTGGTAAGCGGCTTGTTCCAGTTTAAGTAAGATCTCGAGTTTGAGACCTTGTGAATGCAGCAGCCTCCGTTGGGAGATTCACCCATCATTTTCAGGTGCGCGATGCGGGTCGATCTGGATTAGTCGGGACGAAGCCCCGAATACCGGACGGAGACCAAAAAAATAAAAACAAGACACTGAGAAGAGTGAAAGTAGGGTTCCCTGTGGATTCATCCTGCTTTGAAGCAATTTAAGATGTACGTTGGAAAGACGGAAGAAAAGTGTCCCGTGCGGATTCATCCTCCCATTCTAGCTCATTCCACCACTGTTGCGCTCCCGGCTCCTCTAATGATGATTCTACCCCCTGCGCTGTTGGATCTAAGTGGAAGTTTCCTCAGCTTTGGACAATAATCTACTCTAATTGCAACCGAACTAGGGAAGGAAAGTGCAAAACTGTGGATACTCCTCAATTCTAGCAGACAAATTAGAACCAGAATTTGGAGTTTGTCAAACGAGACAAGATTCCCGGTCATCGCTGCAACTCCACCCTCACTAATTATTTCTTCCATACTATTGCAGCAAGACACAAAGAGACTTGTCAGATTTGGGGCCCAAATGATCCATGTAATGTCCTTTAAATTTGGGCAATCATATATGTCGACCCTCCGCAAGTCGTAGAAGTTTCTTTCACTTGCAATCACAGACGTTTGAAAGTCATACTGTGTCTGTTTCTTTCTTCCTTCCTCATCCCACTCGGTCTTCACTTCTTGCATACTTGCGCCCATCAATGTCAGATATTTAAGTCGCTTCATGGGTGGCAAACATAAAGTTTTCAGCGAAAACAAAGAGCCATTCCCCGGTTGATAAATGCATAATCCTTCTGTGCAACCCTGTATGCGGTGAGAGCTTAAGAAACCTTCAACAGCAGAGTCATTAAATATAGTTATTGTTAAGGCGTTCAAACATTTCAAGCGCTCCAAGCACTCAAGTCTGCTGTAGCTGATATTCCCATTTACCGCCACTACTAAAATTTTTGTTTTCAGCAACTAAGTATCAGCAATATGAAATTGCTTGTCTGTAATATAAATTTTTACCGACAAAACTTATGTTGCTGATCCTTAAATAGTACACATTTTAACAAAAAGTGTTCTTTACTTTTAGTAACATAGTTCTTGATGCTAAAAATGAATTTCAACAACAATAACCATGTTGCTGAAAATTTTATGTTACTGTTTATGATTGGATTTTGCACCAATTTCATTAATCAATCGGCAAAAAGTGTTCTTTACTTTTAGCAACATGATTCTTGTTGCTGAAAATAGTTTTTAACAACAAAAACCATGTTGCTAAAATTTTTTGGTTACTGTTCATGATCGGATTTTGCACCAATTTTATAAATTAATTAGCAAAAAATGTTCTTTACTTTTAGCAACATGGTTTTTGTTGTTAAAAATGAATTTCAGCAACAAGAACCATGTTGCTGAAATTTTTTTGTTATTGTTCGTGACCGGATTTTGCACCAATTTCATAAAATAATTAGCAAAAAGTGTTCTTTACTTTTAGCAACATGGTTCTTGTTGCTGAAATTTTTTTGTTACTGTTCATGACCGGATTTTGCACCAATTTCATAAATTAATTGGCAAAAAGTGGTATTTACTTTTAGCAATATGATTCTTGTTGCTGAAATTTTTTTGTTACTGTTCATGATCGGATTTTGCACCAATTTCATAAATTAATTAGCAAAAAGTGGTATTTACTTTTAGCAACATGGTTCTTGCTACTGAAAATGAATTTCAGCAACAAAAACCATGTTACTGAAAATTTTTGGTTATTGTTCATGATCGGATTTCACTTAAATAGTACACTTTCCCCCCAAAAAGTATTCTTCACTTTCAGCAACATGGTTCTTGTTGCTGAAAGTGAATTTCATTATTTTTTAGCTAAATTAGATATTTAAATCATTTAAATAAAGAGTGAATAATATAATTATGTTAAG